ATATACATATAAATATATAGTGAGATATGTATATATCTCATAAGATATATTATATATATATATATGCTATATATTTGTATGTATGTAATGTGTTTACAGTTTATATTTATTTATTTTTTACATATAAACTGTACTTATAAATATCTCCAAAATGCAACCACAAAATATAGAACAATCTTACAAAGCGACATAATGTTTAGATTTTGCAAATCGTGAAACAGTTAGTCTTCGCTCTATCTCACTTTTTTGTTATGTACATAGTTTTTTTTCACAAGAAGAGGTAAAATAATTTACTTTTCCTAGCGCCCTCTAATTCCGAAAATAAATTATGAATTATTCAGTATACTTTTTTGTGGTAACGTGGTTGGAAACGCAAATTTTCTAAAAAAAAAAAGAAAGAAAAAAAAGGATATTCGAGAGATAGAGGAAAGTATCCATTTCCATTAAGATCCACATCTGATTCAGTCATCATCCTCCCTGCCAACCTCCCTGAAAGAGTGATATTTATTTCCGCTGTTTTCTTCAAAGTAACCTCTCTTTATTACCCAGCGCAGTGTAGAGTTAATCCACGCACATCGAGGTCAACCGATCGAATTCGTCGCTTAATTTATCTCTCGAATTCATAGCGCGTGAAATAACCGATAGTGATCGTGCATTCCTGAAACGGAACGGCCTTATATCTTCATCTACGACTAGTTTAATGACAATTCTTCTTTTGTACCACAAAGTGCGACCGAGCGCCGGTATTCCGCTTTTCACATTCCTTTTCCTTTTTTTTTCTTCTTCAGAAATTCAAAGAACGTGGGCGCAACGGCAGATACCCATGGTTGTTTAGAAAGCGTCGAGCGGCGCGAGTCATGTCAAGCTGGTCCCGGGTACGACCACACGCCACCATTATCCATTGTGCTTCCAATTGTGCCTACAAACAAGGGGAAAGAAAACTTTCAATAATTGTAATTTTAACACGCGTCAGCAATGCACTTGTAGTAACAATTGGCCATATTGTAATGTAAGATTTATTTGATTTTTAAGAGAATATTCTTCTTAATTGTGTAAGCACAGATATAATATTTACTCACTATTATGATATAAATAGATACAATATTAAATAGAATTATAGTAATCTTAGCTAAATTAATTCTTCTAAATTAGCTCTTGAAACTTGATGGAATTAATGTTCATAGGTATAAAAAATTGTAAAAAAGATACAGTGTTAAATAAGAAACTCACCTTGGTGCGTTTTACCGGCCTGGGAGGCAGAGGGCTGAAGATACAATAAGGACTGTCGAATGCGTCAAACGTGATTGCTCTCTTGGCATTCGGCTTCCGTTGTTGTACGGATGTAAAGTCGTGAGGAGTCTGGAAAGGATAGACACACTAGCTACAGCCGGCAAATAAGAGATGTTCTTAGAAAAAATAGATTAGCTGTACATTTCGAAAAATGAATTCGAAGGTACGAGAAGAGAAAAACCGATTTGAGATTGCAAGTAATTGATAAAGAGAGACAGATGAATCTTAAAGGAGACAGACCGAAATTTATATTTTTTGAGAATTAAAGAATTGTGATGACATTTTATTGTATTCTCTTTTTGTCTTTAACATTTTTCTAGAGAAAAAGAAAGAAAGAGAAGACTACTCATAACTAGTGGAATGACTAGGCTCTTAGGTGAGGACTTAAAGGATGATTCTGGGCAAGAACTTTTGTTTGTATACTGCTCCTTGTCTATAAGCTCAAGATTTCATCGAAATCGAACATCCTCTCAAATTATGAAATCATAATTTAAGAAACTCTCTATTACTTTCACTTTTCTACTGAATTTTGTGTTACAAGAAAAACAGAATAGATTTATCTAAATTTTATTTTGAAGAAAGAAAGTAGATCTTAGGATTTCAAGGAAGAAGGGTAAGAAAAATTGTAATACTTTATTCCAATAAGAACAAACGTCAAAAGAAAAAAAAGAGACTAGGCCTTCACATTTTAGATACGCGCCGTGTAACTAGAATTGTTCTATCCAACATAAATATCTTTGGATTGGGAAAAGATTGAGGTACTTTGGTACGCTAGGCCAGGCCTGTATAAGAAAAATGATTTCAGTTAGTGTATGCAATTATTAGTTAGTGTATGCAATTAACATGCGACAACTAAATATATCATCAAAAAAAGAAGAAAACAAGTACAAATAAATAATATAAATATTTACACAAATTATTTTATATATAAATATTAATATTAATAAAAATATTTAAAAATACTTTATGCTTGTGTAGGGCTACATCTAGGAGTTGTTTTAAAGGACGAAGATTTGACATGGAATGGATGTAACTCAATTCAAAATGACAAAATTTATATAGGATCGATTGTATAATATTTCTTGCTAATGCTGCATATTTTGCAAGCAATATTATTAATACATATATTAGTCATTTGCGATTTATTATTAGAATTAATTCTTAGCAACATTACTTCCATTTATATTGGTCACGATGAGTAACATAAACGTTTTCTCTCATTTTATGATGTATAAATTAATTTTTATAGTTTTAAAATAATAAAATTAATATTAATAATTAAATAAATATAAATAATTAACGGCCAAGGTCTCGTGGCATTAGTGCAAGTTTCAATAAATAGATCGAATATTAGTTTATTATGTATAGTATTATACCTAAAATTAACAAGAATGATAATCTTTGGATTGGGCAATATTAAGCGACAAAAGGAATAAGCAGTAGAAGAAAAAATACAGATTTATATTTTCTGCGCTAACTGGATTTTGTCTTCAAATAATGAATAAGAAGCGTTAAATAAATGAGATGAAGATACAGATAAAAATTTAAGTACAGACATATAGCATTAAAAGAAAAGTTAGAAGGCCGGCTAGCGTGTCTAAGGACGATTGGTACGAGAAAAATACCAGGATAAGGCGGGTTGATTATGAATTTGAGTTTGAGTACGTTGTTCTACCTTTGTGGGACTCGTTCCTGCCGTCAAAAAGCTATCTTCTAGTGCCATAGATGCAGGCGAGAACAATGTAGAAGCTTCCAAACTTTTACTCTATGATATAAAAAATAAATATACATTATCATCCACCTGTTTCAAATTTCTCGAGACTTTTAAGTGTATTCAAGAAACACAACAATTATAATATCATTAACTTGCCTATTACAGATAAAGTTGTGATTAAGGTATATTTCTGGATTTATTTAATTAAAAGCATTTCGTAAAAGCTAATCTCTTGTAACATTTGTGTTAATGCAATGATAATGCGTAATTTCGTGATTGACTGATAATCGCAGGTTCGAATCCAACCATCAAAATTGTCAATATTATATTCCAATGGCAATGAGGAAATCTGACGCTAAATATTAGCATCAATATTTTAACGTTATAGATTCTCTTGCAGGAATAAATTTATAATATATTATTAATAATTTTGAAAAACAAGCTATGCATCAATGAACACAAAATTACAAGTGATTTATCTCAAGTAATTATCCGAGTAATAAGTAACATACTGGTGTTTCCACAAGGAAACTAATTTCGGAGTTGTCCTGAGATGCCCAAGCCTGAGAAAGGGCCTTCCTCGCGCGTTTTCCTCCTGGTGCACTGTTTTCTTTACCGCGCCTTCGTATCATACTGCTGTAGCCCGAGTCTTGGTCCTGAATCGTACTCGTTCCAGCCTCGTTCTCGGTCTCTTGCTTTATTATCTCGGTCAATGCATCTAACCGACTAGGAGTCGCGGGCAATTGTACTGCTCCAGTTCGTCGTTCGAGCTCAGCTAAAGCGTTTTTAAATGGGGTTGGTGTTCTTGGTGTATTACCATCTGAAAAAAATTACAGTAGAAAGTGATCCTAAAAAAAAATCTTGTATTTATAAAATAAAAATATTGTGCTTATAAGTGTTATCTGAGTAGAAATTTCGTGGGCTGTAAAAGATTATGAATTCACCAATAATTCATGATTCATTTGAAACTCGTAGTAACATACAAAAAAATGCCATTGAAAATTTACCGTTTTGACTTCTTCGGAAACCAGTAGGCTGCGGAGTCGTGAGCGGGCCAGGACTGCTTCCTTTGGGCGTACTTGCGCGCGGCCACGTTTCCGATGGACTCAGACTGTTCAGGAATTGCGAAGGACTGAATGGAAGTTGCTTAATAGGAGTCGAAGGGGTGATGTTTCCTGTTTGCACCTGTTGGCTCGTTACGATGTAATTCGACTGATTCCCGCTGTCGGAGACGTCTATCCTCTGTAACAAACTATGCGCGTTTCTACGTCTACGTAATATAGGCGGAGGGCTACTCTTCTTGTCCACGTGCTGCTCGGATATATCCTCTAAGTCGGGCATCGGCATCAATTTTATCTCCGAGCTCTTCGAACCAGATGTTTCGTTTTGTATTTGTTGCAAGTTGAAATATCTACGCAGAAAAAAGAAGAAAATCGAATGCTGCCCAGAGATATATATGATGTCATTCGTTTCAAAGACGATATACTTAGATAATGACGAAACTGTCTCGGCTTTCGCTCGTGAAGATCCTCTCTTCAACGGAGACGCGCATTTTTCATTGCTGTGTGTATGCCTATTTAGTTCCAAAGCATTTTGGTATTCCGCCGTAGCATGCTGTTCCCAACTTTTGATCCAACCCAGATGCTCGAGGTCGAGACTCTGCGAGGAGTTACCCGCTGTTACTGTCGAACTACTAGCCGAGGCAGTTTTCATCCGATTCTGATCATCTTCCAGAAGAAGCGTATCCTTTACAGTAGTAGCACCCTGTGCATTTTTTCTCTTGCCTCTGCCTAAATAACAGTAAGTTGCGTTCATTTCTCGCCATGTTCTATCAAATCCAGTAGGCATTATGAACACAATTATTACATACAGTTCAATGACAAAGAACATATTTTATATTTATCACAATAAAATTTATATCGTTATTGCATCAAAATTTACCATCATAAACAATACCTTTGGTCGCAATTCTTCCTTCTTCACCTTCATATTTTCTTCTCATCGTACTATTCCAATGATTCTTAATCGCATTGTCAGTCCTACCCGGTAAGAGCTTAGCGATTTTTGCCCACTGATTGCCGACTCTACGATGGGCATCAACGATTATTTTGTCTTCAGCCTCCGTCCATGCAGTTTTCTTTATCTCCGGATTCAAGTGATTGTGCCATCGTTCTCGGCACTGTTTGCCAATCCGACCTTTAAGATGTCGCGCTATCACCGTCCACTTTTTTGGACCATACTTCCGTACAAGTTCTACTACTTTTTCATCTTCCTGTAAAACAGAAGAGTTTATAAAATATAACAAAGAAATATATAACAATTATATCTTAAGAAAATATTTTACAATAAGAAATTTATACGGATTATCTATCTTATATTTAATAGCTTCTTTTAATATATAAATGCAACAAATCTCTTCAATGCTAATAAAATATTATTCGATAATGATTCGATAATGAAATAATCAAACAATTTAGTCAGCTTTTCAATGATCAAAAAATAGTTTCAAGGAAAATGTTATCCCCTAAACATATATATCTGAATATAATATTATGAATAATCTGGTTTGTTATGGGACACTGCAAATATAAGGGGATATCTTAAGCAGGTCTCAACTAAGGGATACCAGTGGGAAACGCCATAATCGCACGTACGCGCACTCGATTCCCGGAGCCGCGTTACTTGCCCTTGGCTGTTGCCAAGTGCATTGGCACGGCGACGCAGCATCACTGTGGTCAGAGCTTTTTCTTATTGCATACCCCACCGAGGCGAGTGGCAGACACAAGTGCTGGGATCCTTGTGTCTGTATGCGATTCGCCTCGTGTAGGTGGTATGTGCAGTGCTGTACAATGATACTATACTACCCAGCGTATGAAACACTCGATACAATGTAATGTCGCTTCGCATTATCAACCGCAATACTTATAAAAGAACTCCAAAGAGTGATAAATTGTGATTTTAATAAAATTTTATGCACTTAATTTATATAAATAGATAAATTTAGAAAATATCAATACCAAATAAATAGTTTTAAAGAATAAAATAAATTATATGTAAAACAATTTTCAGCTTTTTTCGTTATATCTCAAAATTCGAGATATTAAAAAATTGTCTAATACAAAAGTTTTATAATTAAATTACCTTTATTTATCTAGGTCTATAATATTTTTAAAAAATAATATTTGAAAATACAAATTTTGGAAAAAATTATTTTTTTTTTTAAATAGTATTGACGTAAATAAATAGAGATTATTAATCATCTTAACAACACGAGAAATATTGAAACGTGAGAAACATCCTCGGAAAACTTATATTTTTCTTCAAAACATAATGATTTTTAAGTTGTAGGTACGTACAAGAGAATCCAAACTGAGTGTAATTGGATATACGCATACATTTCATATATTCATTATAAAATCATTGAAGACCGATTGAATTTGGGAAAGATTTTCAGGATGATGAAGACGGGACGTTAGCAAGAACTGCCCACCTCCTTCGTCCATGGACCCTTCACCAGTTCCGGGTTCACGACCTTCGCCCATCTCTGTTGACATTGTACATCGCTCCTATCTGGAAACTGGCCGGCTATAATGTCCCATCGCAAACCAGTCCCCTGTTGTTCCGCGTTGCTTACTAGCTGTTTCAATAAAGCGTCCTGCAAAAGGAAAAGCGACGTATAAGCGACGTGTAGGAAAGCGAAAATATTTTGTTCCACCTTGCCCACAGCGTTTTATTTGCGCGCTTTGAATATACGAAACGGAGGAAGGACGGACGCATAAGAGATCGATCGATTCTCGTAGGCTTTCCCACGTGAAGCCGCGTAAGTGCACCCTATGTTCTATGGGGTAACCGAAGCATCTGCCTCCCGATACGACGGCGCAACTCGCTGCAGAAAATACGAGGGGTAGACATTTTTTTTCGGGGGGATCCGCATGTTCATTGTTTTCCCCCCATCCTTTTTCCCCTTAACTTGCTACATGGAAGCGATATAGTGTAACAATATATGGTTGAGTATAAAAACGTACAACCAATATAAATTTAAAAGATCAGCCAAGAGCTTTTTCGGTCAAATAAAAAACTTACAAAATATTAATTTTATTACGATTAATCTATTAAATATTAAACATTACATTTTTTTTCTCAATAGACTGATTAATTCTCGATAGAGTGACTCGATATAAATTGAAATAAAAAATATTTCTACGATAAATAACATTAGGACATTAAATAGCTTGATAGAATTGTCTTATTCTTGAGGCTTTCACGGGTGCTTTCTATATAAAGATTATGGGAGAAAACCCGCGCATAATCTTTATATAGAATAATTATCTGTCAAGCAAAAGATCATGTCTAGTTTCAATTCGTTGATCTTCTCATATATGAGAAATTCCGTAAAAATTTTCGAAAAAGATCATTCCATTATGACAGAAGCAAGAAGTGAATATTGAGCATCATAATGAGAACAGTTATATAATGAGAATAGTTATCTCCGAAGAAAATAGCGCATGTTCAAATTGCTAATATCTTGTTTGAATATAAGGCTGGCATTATTCAATCATCATGATTTTATTTTCCCAATTTTATTTTGTTTTTGGTTTCATCGGAGATAACTGTTTTCATTATATAATTGTTCTCATTATGTTCAATATTCACACTTCCGAGTTCAATAAAATACAATCTCTTCCATATAATCTCTTCATGTACCTTAGTGCAACCATACTTGAAAAGTGTGTTACCTGAGCATTAACATTAACTGTGTCCTTTGAGACACAGAAAAAAAAGAAAACTGTTGGCTAAAACTAATTGAATTGATACTAAATAATTGAAAAAACATATGTGATAAATTTACTTCATCTTTGGTCCATCGTCCTTTATTTATGTGTTTTCCCTGCCCGTAATTTGTAACACTGGGAAGTTGATTTTGCGCTTGACTTTGTACTTGACTGCCTTGACTAACTGTACTGTACTCGTTGTCGGACTCTCCACCACTGCTAGAATCGTAACCAGATCGAGACCTGAAAATGGTAAACAATAACCATGTAAATAATGATAGCAATGAAATAATTCATGCTGAAACAAATATCGTAGTAGTCAGTTAATAAATAATAAATCTTTGAATATAGTGAGCTAAAAAAGTCTCTAAACATGACTACAAGATTTGATTCACCCTCGTGAATCCCCAAATAACACGGCACTACAATTCATTACAATGGCACGTGTTGTCGGCAAAATTGACAAAGAAGATAAAAAATACTCGATATTCTTAATAACAATAAGAAGTAAGAATTAGATTGTGTCAATATCATTTTTTTTTCCTAAATACTGATAATATAGCCTTGTAAGAAAATGAGTGTCTTCCTTCCTGCAACGTCGTTTATAATCACTCTCACGAATCAAAACTACGACAATACAAAAGCCAAATACGGAAGTTTTAACGAACACGTATATCTTCTATCTATCCGGGAAATAACGGCTGAGACGGGAAATCACGGATGGGTGAATATCCTTCCTGCACCCAACTCTTCTTCTTTTTTGTCGCGCAACTTTTATCGTCGCCGTCCTCTCCTAATTTCGCCACCACCACTACTCGGGAAGCAATTCTGACCGCGAAAACGCCGGTTTTTTTGTGGTCACGAGCGACTTGATCTTCCCTCGCTTTGTGACTTCCTGTCACGTTTTGTACATAGTAATTGGAGCGCTTCCTTATTAAGCTTTTGCATCCTTTGCATACTCCCATCCCCGATCAGAAAGTCATTCTTTACAGTTTAGTGTGACGACGCAATTGTTAGGAAAGAATAAATTAAGTGATTTAGCAAATATATTAGCTTGCTGTGTGAATTTAACATTTATAACAAAAGATATATATTTGATGGCTTAATAAAGAAATGTGTGGATGTCTAAACGATTATTAGTATACTAATTCAGTTCTTCTTTGCTATAATGAAAATTGTTAATGTAACAAGTTTATTACAGTAACAAAACTATGTACCATCATAGCTATGTTTTGTTAAAAATTTTAATCTATATATTTTACATATTGGATTAATCTTCCTATAGAAAGTCATCTTTGCTGTATTAACAAAGTTTGCTGCTACTATAACTATGATAACTTATAATCTATCTACGCTAATTTTATTCAGCTGTATAACTTTGATATTTCATAGAAAATTGGTTGTTCATATATTATGACTGTAGATTTGCTGAATCGTTCGAACAATGAAATCGTTCTTAGTTATTTTAACAAATCTTTTTTCCTTACGTGCATTATTTATTTCACTTTATTAGAAAATTACCAAAAACTGCTGTCCTTCATTTCAAAACAGCGATATAATTTTTTTATTATTTTACGTCTCAATCATCAAAATTTTTAGAAAAATCAAATACTATAGAATGTCAACTCTCTTCTTCGGAAAAGTCAGAATCTGATTTCTAGATTATAATCATTAATAATTAAATCCTGAAAATCTAATTTTTATGAATTCTTGACATGTTTTCGTAGAGGTAGGTCTATGCACTGTCCCGCTGAATAACAATGCATCCGAGAACAGAAAGCAATGTCGTATGCTCCTCTCAGTACATGCCGTGCAATCTGCTCACCCTCACTTTTTCCCCTTTCCCTCGCCCCTAACAGCTGCATATGCCAGGGAGAATCCGGGGTGAGCAACTGAGAATATAGTTAGCTTATGCAACGATAGCAACGGAGCACCCGCGGACGTATGCGTGTGCCATAAACATATGTATGTTGCAGATGGCCTGGGGTTCCTATCGTCGCTTCATACATGCTGAGAGCCATCGATCGAAACATCCTCGTCTCTAATGAACCCCTATCTTCAATCAAGTCTACTATAAATATCATAGGAGGAAAGAAAAATGTCATATATTGACCAAAAAAAACAATGCTATACTTATAAGCATACTTGCTTAGAAAATAATTGTGAGTAGAAAATAATTTTGTTTACATAGAATTAATACCTTTGCAATTATTAATGAAAGAGTGATGCACGTGATAAATTTATTGCGTACGAAATACGATGCGCGGTTCTAACGCGATTCATTTCAAGCTGCATGGTTGCTACGCATTCAGACGATACGAAAGATGACGTTACGTCATCGTGAACGGTCCAACACTATGGAATGCAAACAAGCTAAAACGACACCACTCCCATTTAATTACGCTCGAAGAAAGAACCTCTCTCATAACGTTGCCCACTATGATAAACGCAGGCCTCCATGTAATATTAATCGCGTTGAATAACACAGTGAGAAAAATTGCTGGTTGAAAATAAACGAACCAGAAAATTCTGATCATATCTCAATCAGAATTCTGATTGTATATCTCAATTGCAATAGATTCAACCAGCAAATTTTGATTTGTCCATTTTCAACCAGAATTTTAATTAATGCAATTCAGACTCTTTTTCCAGAGTAAAAGCTTCGTTTTATCGAACATACTGATGACAAAGCTATAGTCGTCATGCCAGTAGATTGAGAGTACAAGAGCGGCAAAGCATGAAACGATAAATTAAGATGTTAATCGCACACCTCGACTAATAATTACAGTTGATTTTTATCTGATAAGTATCGATAGCATCATACCATGCAACTTTATTAATCTACAGAAAATATCATCCCTCCGCAGATGTACTTTTGTTTACATCAATACCAAACACCTCTCTTCTCGGAAATACTTGAGAATTCGTGTAAAACGATCCTCGACCGATCGCAAAAAAATAAAAGTTATATTTTCTCTTTATATGCTTATAATAATTGTATTCCAAAATTAATTGCCAATACTTAAAATATATAGTGCATGTGGTGTAAATTACAGATTTTCAGTGACTTCTGAACACAGTCAATATCTTCGATATAAGTAAACTCTATAAAGGGTATTAATTTTTGTCAATGAGAGCGATGGAGCCAAGGAGATCAAATTAGCACAAGAATTCCCAGTAAGTTACGTAAAGGTTTGTGACTTCGCAGAACTTATAACTGCCGCATCTTCCTTGAATTTAAATTCTTCAGGCACGTGGCATATCTAAAAAAAACTTCTTTCACATTCCTCACCATTCGCGAAAAAAAAAACACCGGCTTAATCGTGATTTGATACAATAAAACGTCCTCTACCTGGACAGAGATAGTGAACAGATGGAATATTCCCACTTAATCAGATTCAGTTGGCAAATAAAAAAAAGGTGAAAAAAATAGACACATATCTACATGTATATCTGCATATATGAAAAATAAAACTTTACATAAATTTTAATTGAATATATTAAATTTCTAAATGTAATAAGTAATAATAGATCTTTAAATGAAAAGACACATTCAAATCTAAAATTTTATAGGTACAGCGCCACGTACAATTAAATTTTATGTGACTCAAATATAATATAAAAGCTTTATATTACGTACTATGTTGTTCATTGCGACGTTGAAAAATCATTGAAGCAATAAAAGCAGTTAGAAATTATAGAAATTAAACATTTACTCCTAAAGGCCTAAGAAATAATCCTATATTATTCTTGAAATGAAAAAGTTAAACATAATAAAGGGATCTTCATCGTTCAAATTACTTCAACAAATTGTCAACTAAAATATTCAGGTAAATTTATTCGGTAGCTTTTACTTGAGAGACGAAACAAAAGCAGGTGCCGCCAACAGCTGCTTACTTATCTAGGAAAATGAACGAGCGTGTCTTTTGTCACCGTGCAAAAATTTCTTTAAGAACTTTTACATATATCTTCAATATAGATAAAATATACGTAACATATAAGTAACATATGCATATCACGATTTATACAATAGAAAAAAAGTTGACCTTCAATACAAAACAGTTAATAAATGGGCGTAAATTCATAAATTCGGCTATTCCACATATTCAATTTACAAAGCTTATTATTTATTCGTTCGTCAATAATAAATTTGCAGACGATATAATTTATATAATCAAATGGACAGAGTTTTTCATAATTCACATTTTTGACATCTTAAATGCGTAGTGTGATACGGTCGTAAGATAACGATGGGGCACGGATGGACGTCGCTAAATTTCAGAGACAATAAAACGATACCACGGGACCGGGTGATCTGACTTCTCGTGAGAACGGGAAAGAAAGCCCTGATGCCATGCGTGCCGAAGTATGGACATCTGCCAAAGTTCCGAACTTTCCCCTCTTTTTTTTCACGAGCACTTCTTCCGTTCACGTTCAGCGCTCACGCGTTCATTTCGCCTTTATGACACACACCGGGCGCGCCCTTAGCTCCTCTTCCTTCCTTCCTTCCTTCCTTATTTCCTCGCTTCCGTCTGTCACGCGTCACGCAACAATAAGGTCATCGTGCAAGACGGCCCTTTGAACGTATGAGAAGCCCGCCGGCGGAGATCGACGATTACGACTTGACAAAACAAACTTCGCACTTGAGGTTGTATAACAACTAATTCTATCTGAACTAATTAACTAATGTCTGACGTCACAATTAATTAATTCGATGGGTTTATGAGTTAATTCTTTCTATTGAAAGTATGCTTTTCAACATTATATTTATGGCTGCGTTCAACAGAAAAAACTAATCAGTTAGCGCTTAATGATTCTTCAATATAATTGGTTCCTATACTTAAATCCAGTGAAGAAAAGTAAAGGCAAGAATCAATCACATTAAAGAATCAGTGCTAACTGATTAGTTTTCTCTGTTGAACGTAGCTAGTAGTTACGTTTCAGATAACAATCGCAAAATCTTTAATTAAGTTAAATAAATATATAATAAAAAAAATAAATACAGAGTGTCCTGTAAAGACTGTAATAACTTAAGAGTAGAAACATACCTACGAACATCTTGAAATAAAAATTCTAATAGCAAAATGTATAATAGTTTTTGAATATAAGCATTTAAAGTTAGTTAATCATATTGTCAAAAATTTTCAAGTGTTGGTACTAAAACTCTAGATATTCCAAAGTAGTATAAAGATCCTCCATTTTGAACTTACTAATCTACCAATAATACTAAGCACTTATTGGACTACAGACTAAATCGAAATAGACAATAGGAAAGTTGTCGGCATTTCCGTTTAGATAAAAGGTTTGCGCTACTTTAATATGTCTAGAGCTTTAGTGCTAAAAGCAAAAGCTATAATTGTCTCTTGTTAATATCGATACAAAGATTATTTTTATGTGAAGATAAAATTATTGGATATTTTCAATTATTGAAAAATTAATATAATCCCGACAATTTGATATTAGAATTTTAGTCTCAAAATGATCTCAGGAATCTTCCCTTAAGTTGTTATGATCTTTGCGGGACACCTCTTGTAGGTATATAAAATATATATAAAATATAATAAAAACATTTTTTTAAATAGAAAATTCTGTTATTTTCTCTGACTTCACTTTTCATCTTTCAGAAAAAGGATTTTACCGTTTCCTTCGCATAAGTCAACTTTTGAGAAGACTCTTTATCGCACGAAATATAAGATATCGGCATTTATACGGCTTATCGAGCATACTGTGCGGGACTCCCCGACACTTATAACAGGACAGAATATTAGGTCAACGCAAATACAGATCCTACCGCCGTGGCCGCGTTGGTCGCGTGCGACACCCGCAACACAATTGATCCTTTCGTCAATTTGCTAGTACCCGGAACCAGGTGTATGGATCCAGGGAGCGTTCGTTCATAGCTATGGCGTCAGCTGCTGCCCCGGTGAGTCCCACCCTCTTGCCCCGGTCTCGTTTGCAATCGTCCAAGATACCGGCGCTTATGATGACGCGTGTCCCCCCCGCGACGGTGTCATAGGACTCGCCTTCGATGACACCAGTTGTCATACGAACCGATTGCCCCGTTCGCAGTAAACGCTTTTAGAATTTGTGTCATACATGAGTGACATATCCTGAATACTCTTGTACAACTGGGGCCGTCTTTATTAATTACCGATGATTAGCGCAATGCATAATAATAAAATAAAATATTTCAAAATAATATTTATTATCGTGTTTAAAGCTCATATATCAATATATTATATTATATAAATTTATAATAATTTAAGAGATTTCTGAAAAATATTGACTTCTAAATATTAAAAATAGTATTAAAGTAAAATTACTTATTTTTAAAAAGATGATATATTCCTAAATTAAATTATGTGTAACACATAATTTAATTTGAGATATAATTTTTTTTATTATTATATACTAACATATATTATTTTTATATTTATAATTTAAATTGTATTTACGAGAATAAATCAATTAATAAGAGAAATAATCTTATTTTCGGTCAAAGCGAATCTTAGTGCTTAAATATTTCAATTTATATAAATGTAGAATTTATTTCCAATTCTGCAAACCACCATGAAATCTTTTTCAATCTTGAAAGGCAATTATGAACAGAACTAAAATAGATAGTAATATTACATATTAAATTGATAAGCAATTTAATAATACTGTGTGTTAATAATTCTAATAAGTATCTCAGAAGGATATTAATAATCTGATGTTAATATAAACATCTTCAAAAATATTATAAATAATTCATTGCGGAAAATATTATCCCGGCTAAGGTATTATAATATTTTTCGCAATAAATTATTTACAATTTTTATGATGCTTATATTAGCATCGAATTAGTAATATCTTTTTAAGATCAACCCTATTAGCATTCAACTTGTTAGCATCAACCCTTACGATACTAGTCTTAGTATTTCATGTCTGACTGATTCTTGTTCGTGCAAGTTTCACGCAAATCACCATTTTTTATCCCCTCCTAAAAAAAAGTTTGTGATGAGGGAGACGTGTGCGCAGCACAACCATCAATCTTCCTGTGAACTGTATATAATTAAATTCTGCGACAAATATCATTGACCCAGATTGTACTGAACATGTCCTTTTTATATAAAGTAAAAATTGTGTAAAAAAAAATCATTGTGAATATTTTCATTCTAAATTAAATAATCTAAATATTCGTTTTTATAAAAAAATTTTTTTGTTTAAAATCACTTATTTTAATTATCGAATTTACATATATATATACTTAAATTATAAAATGTATATACTTAAATATAAAAAATTTGTAAAAAAATCATTGTAAGTATTTTATTTTCACTCAAAATCAAATGTTTTTATTTAAAGAATTTTTTTCTAAAAAAAAATTATTTTAATCGTCGCATTTATATCCCGTAGAGCAAAAATGTCCAAATTATATTACAAAGCCTAAAGATATCATAACATCTGCAGGATATCCGTATGATATATTCTATTGTGTATATTTAGATTATATGTGATTTTTTCAATTTTACATTTCATAAAATTTTTGTGAATAAAATATATACATATACATATTTGTTTCTTCACCAAAATAAAAAAAAAGTATTTCAATTCAATTTTTTTCTATTTATCTCTTATTTTAAATCACTCATTTTTATGTGCTCAAATTATTCAACTTTTTGAAGAATTTGGAGTCCTCGTATTTTTTTCAAAACTTCATACTTAAATTAAAAAACCCTACAATTCATTTTTTATATTCGTTTATTATAAAAAGTTATAATTTTTTAAATCAAATGATACTATCTAACTTAATACTTCGGTTATAAACTATATTTATAAATTACGGTTACAAATTATATATTATATTATATTTTATTATTTTCCAAAATGAAGTTTATATATTTGTTTTAGAAAGTTAAAAGTATGTTCGTGAAATTTTAGAGATTTTTTGAATATTTTAAATAAATGGAAAAACAGATGAGATTCGAGACGCTCAAGTTTGTATCGGAAGCACGTTTTGAGACTAATATCATAAGAGTTCAAATTGTTTATCAATTTAATATTGATATTATAATAATATTGACACAATTTATTGACTGTACTATCTTAGTTCTATTCATGGCTGCGTTTCAAGATTAATTATAAGAAAGATTTCGATGCGCGATTTACAAAATTGGATATGTATATAAATGCATATACTGAAATATTTAGTATTAAGATTTGTTTTGACCAAAAATAGGATTTCTCTTTATTGACTTACTTTCATATTTAATCGATAATATAAAAAAAATATTTATTGATATCATTTATGTTTATTTAGACAATTAATAAGCAGTTTTTGTGTGTAATATTCCTATTTCATTAAAAAAAGAAGACAATATAAAAAAACCTGTCGAAAATAATTATTTAAGAAAGCAAAAATCTAGAAAAAAAACCTAAGAAACTTAAAT